ATGTCCTGGCTAATAAGGCAAGCATTTCACACATGCCTTCTTCACTGTCCTGTCTACCTGTGCTGACACTTTCAGGGCTCTATGGATGTAAACCAGGATCCCTTTGTTCCTCAGTACTCCCTAGGGACCTACTATTCATTGTGTATATCCTTCCCTTATTGGACATCCCAAAATGCTTAAATTCCATCTGCCATTACTCTGCCCAATTTACCAGCTGAACAATATCTGACTGTAGCCTGAGACTATCTCCCTCACTATCAATAAAGCCACCAATTTTTGTGTCATCTGCAAACTTACTAATTACGCCTTCTACATTCACATTCAAGTTGTTAATGTACATAACAAACAGCATGGGTCCCCTCACTGATCCCTGTGGCTGCAGGCTTCCAATCACAAAAAACAACCCTCCACTATCACTCTTTGCTTCCTATTTGCAAGCCAATTTTGGATCCAGTTTGCCAACTTGCCTTGAATCCCATGGGCACTTCCCTTCTGAATCAGCCTTCCATGTGGACCTTGTCAAAGGCCATACTGAAGTCCATATAATCTCATAGTCATAGAGTCATAAAGGTATACAGCACAGAAACAGGCCCAACTTTCCTAACCTAATCTAATCTTATTTGCCTGCATTTACCTCATATCCCTCTGAACATTTCCTATTCATGAACCTGCCCAAATGTCTTTTAAATGTTGTAATTGTACCTACCTCTACTACTTTCTTTGGCAGCCCGTTCCACCCTCTGTATGAAAAAGTTGCCCCTCAGGTCCCTTTTACAAATTTCGTCTCTCATCTTAAGCCTATGCCCTCTAGTTTTGGACTCCACTAACTTGGGGAAAAGACCTTGGCTATTCACCTCATTAATATCTCTCATTATTTTATAAACCTCTATAAGGTCACCCCTCGGCACTCTGAGGAAAAAGTCCCAGTCTATCCAACCACTCCTTATAATTCAAACCTTCCAGTCTTGGTAACATCCTTTTTTTTGTATCTTTTCCAATTTAATAACATCCTTTCTATAGCAGGGAGACCAAAACTGTATGCAGTACTCCAAATGTGGCCTTGTACAGCCATAACATGACATGCCAATTTCACTACTCTCATAGATATATTTATTCACCTTTTCAAAAACTTCAATTAAATTAGTCAGACAGGATCTCTCTCTAATAATCTATGCTGGCTATCCCTGAGTAATCCTTGCCTTTTCAAGTGTTGATTAATCCTGTTTCTCAGTATTTGTTCCAATATTTTCACTATCTCTGATGTCAGACTAACTGGTCTGTAATTACCTGGTCTATCTCTTCTTGAACAAAGGAATTATATTAGATGTCCTCCAATCATCTGGCACTTCATTGTGGCCAGTGAAGTATTAAATATCTCCACCAGGGTGTAGAAATGTAGATGCTAAAGGTTTGTAGTCCCTTGTGGGAGACTCTAGGATGAGAGGGCATAATTTCAGAATAAGGGGTCACGCAGTTAAGGCAAATGAGGAGGAATTTCGCCTCATAGAGTGTAGTGAACCTGTGGAATTCTTTACCACAGAGGACTGTCAAGATTGGGTCGCTAAGTAAAGTCAAGGCTGACATTTGGAATCTGTTCAGGAATCAAGGATTATGGGGAAAAGGCCGGAGAGCAGAATTGGGGGTTATCAGATCCGCTATAATATCCTCAAATGGCAGAGCAAATTCAATGGACTGAATGGCTTACTCCTGTTCCTACATTTTTATGGTCTTACATGTGACAATTAAGGGTTAGCTTTTCTTAGCACTATTATCTTACACTTCTAGGCAGAAAGTGAGAATTTTCACAGTGCCAAGATAGTTTTCAAACATCCAGTGTAACTATAGTTGCGAACCACTGTGACATTGGACTGGACCCACTGGGATTAGGTCATTTACCGGTCTGTTTCTGCAAGCAATTCCTGCACTTTATCATGAGGTGGTATCTCCTAACCTGCAAATGTACAAATACTGCTACCGCTGGTTACAAAATGTCTGTGCAGTGCTTGGATCCAACTTGGGAAAATGTGATCAAATCTCGGATGACACTATTTCTCAAAGAACAATGAAGAATTCCAGTCAAAAACTGAAAGAACTGTGGATGCTGTAAATTAGAAAGAAAAACAAAAATTGCTGGAAAAGCTCAGCAGGTCTGGCAGCATCTGTGGAGAGATATCACAGTTAATGTTTTAGTTCGAGTGACCTCTCCTCAGAACTCCAGTTGCTTGTAATGGGAAAGTTCCAAATAATATCTAGAATAAACGAGGCAACGTGGTTTGCAGAGCTGCTATGGGGTTGAGGAGGGAGGTGATCATTCAACTCCGTGTGGGGATATGTGTGTGCATCAAGGAAGGGTAGACAGACATAGTAGGAACTGCAGATGCTGGAGAATCCGAGACAACAAGGTGCAGGGCTGGATGAACACAGCAGGCCAAGCAGCATCATAGGAGCAGAGAGGCTGACATTTCGGGCCTAGACCCTTCATCAGAAAAGGGGGAGGGGAAGGGGGTTTTGAAATAAATAGGGAGAGAGTGGGAGGCGGATAGAAGAGGGATAGAGGAGACGTTGGGCTACATGTGGTAGTTTATCACCCATTTGTTATTGAAACTCAAATTTGGAGAATGATTAGCTGGATGGACACCCAAAGGAGTAATTTGAGACAGATTAATGATCAACACCTTTAATGGCAACACGTTCCGTTTCACCATCATTTATCTCCCGCTGGTGCATTTTAATGTCATATTGTGCTAAAACAAATTTAATGAGAACTGGGCATGTGATGGTTTGGAATTGCGAAAATGATGATTTACACTTATGACCGAATGCACGTGTATGTGGCGTGTGTCTCCGTCCCTTTTGCCTTTGTGTGTCCCTCAGTCTGTGTGTGTGTGTGTATCTATCGCTGCGCCTGTTTGTGCGTATATGTGTCTGTTTGCCTGTGTGTGTGTGTGCCTCTGTATGTGTCTGCGTTGCTACCTGTTTCAATATCTCTGCGCTGGATTAGCCGTCTCTGTGTTTATGTGACTGACAAAGGTTGTTGGTTGTCTCCCTCTCTCTTGAGTTCCGCTCTTCCGTTTGAGTTGAATGCCATCTGCTGAGCGAAACTGGTAGATCGGGATTTTGTAGTAATTCATAATTAATATTTAAAGGATTAACAAAAAGTCTCTAACTTTCTTTCACCTCACGGCTGCCATTTGGACACTTTCTCTGAAATATTAATATTTAACTGCCACCTTTGTTTTTAACGTGAGTACCAAAGAGCTTTTGCAATGGTTTAAAGTTGTCAAGAAACGGTTTGGATTATTTCTGAGGGATTAGAGCTGCGGCAGGAGCAGATTCCATTAGTGATGATTAATTAGCAGTAGGCAGAGCAGACAGACCAGGTTCCACTCAAAAACTCGACCCCAGTGCTTATTGCGGATCAATTTGCAAGCGTCGATGATATGAATTTCCAGCAACCTGGAGAGGTTCGTTTATCACTTTTTTTTACCTGAATGTTCGCGCATGCTTCGAGACTGAATTATGATAATGGTCAAATTATGAGTGGTTTCGATGGAATACTGGAGGACAATCAGTTTCCACTGTCTGGAGGGTCAGTAGCTTAAAGGGCGCAGATTCTTGACAAGATCACTTTAAAGATAATTGGCAAAATTAATCAGAGGGTGGGGAGTATCAGTTTTGCACGGTGAAGATGCTCGAAGCAGGTTCAATACTAGCGCCTGAAAGGAAACTGGATTTATTTTTAAGGTGCAAAAATTTGAAGGGTTTGGAAAAGAGCAGGGGCGTGGGATCGGTTTGGACAGATCTTCCAAAGAGCTAACACGGGTCAGATGGTCTCGTTCTGTGCCACATGTTTAGTGTGAATAAAACCAATACCATCTCAAAACATATTTTGTATTGACTGATTATCCTCCCTAGTTGACATGCCTGCTGTAGCAGTTACAATATTAAAACTATGTTACTATATGCACTATATACTACTATACACAATATTCACTATATACTGCTATACACTACATAAATTATACACTGCATTCCAAAGTCAGATTCAACTTCACTACATTCCTGATCTCTCAGGCACCAGGTTCTGGTAATGCAGGATAGCTGGCCCTGATGCGCTGGTAAGTGAGGAGGTATGGGGCTGTGGAATCCCCAGTTGGAGAGAGGAGGAAGGGAAGGTTTGGGGGTGGAGTGGGATATCTGCATTCTAGGATCTCTCTAACCAAGCCAACGTTCCAAGTCGCAGCAACCCAATTTCTATCTGTCTTGTTAGATTTTACAAGTTTTTTTTCCACCCTGCTACTTACACCATCTTTGAAGCCATCTTTCATTCTTGTACTATTTTATTGTTGGCCCGTATGGCCCTTGCACTTTTATGCATTTTGTCAATTAATCACGTATGCCTTATTATTTGGTAGGAAAAACAAATGTGTGGAGTATTTCTTAAATGGTGAGAGGTTCGAAAGGGGTCTTGATGTCTTTGTTGATAAGTTACTGAAAGCTAACATACAGGTACTGCAAGCTAGTAAGAAGGCTAAAGGATCATGAGCCTTTATTGGAAGAGGATTTGAGTGCAAGTGTAATGAAATCTTGCTTCAGTTGTTATAGAAATATGCATAGAAACTGTGTGCAGTTTTATTCTCCTTATCACAGGAAAGATATTGTTGCCATTAAAGGAGTGCAGTGAGGGTTCACCAGCCTTGATCCTGGGAGGGTGCATTGTCCTGTGAAGAGAGATTGTGCAAACTGGGGCTGTTCTCTAATGCTTCAAAAAGAGAAGTGATCACATTGAAACTTGCAAAATTCTGAAAGGGATAGACAAGGTCGATGCAGATGCAATATTTCCCATGGCTGGGGAGTCTAGAACCAGAGGGTACAATTTAAAAATAAGGGGCATGCCATTTGGGTCTGAGATGAGTTTTTTTTAACTCAGAGAGTTGGGTACCTCTGGAACTCTCTACCACAGAGGGCTGTGGTAGCTCAATCTTCGAGCAAAATGAAGAGATCAATAGATTTTTGATTACCAATGGTGTACAGGATTTTCGGGATGGGGTGAATAAAAGGTATTGAAGTGTTCAATCAGCCATGATCCTATTGAGCAGAGGGGCAGGTTTGATGGGCTGAATGGCCTATTCCTGTTCCTATGTTCCCATTACAGCCTGTTAATTCTCTGGAATATCATCAACAGTGCCTCTTGCTGTTCCTTCTGCTTTTATTTGACTGAAAAGAATGCGTTTTACTGTTCAAAATTATTAAAATTTAAAACGATATCTTACAATGCTGAGAATGCTCACTTGCACATGACTTTCACAGAAACGATTGATGAAGGATTGTAATAAGGTGGGAGTAATGAATTTATCTTTGCCAGGGAAGCACTCACTGACGATCTGACCAGAGTCCCCGCCACCTGACCTGTCTGTCATCCCTTTTACACCCAAACGGAGTCGGACAACCCTCCTTCTGGCTCGCTCAGTCATGGCGGTTCTAAGAGTAATGTTCACCAAAAGCAAAAGGAACAAACTGGCCCAGGTGTTGTGGATCTTAAACTGGGTGTCGGTCGTGATGGGTCTGGTTTTGATCATCTTGGGAGCTTTTCTGAAAATGGAGATCAGGAAACACAGTGAGGTAATGGTCAGCCGAGGGGCAGATTCTATTCCGCACATGCTGCTGGTCGTGGGAGCCATTGCCTGCGGCATCAACTTCCTTGGGAGCAAGATCTGCCATGATTGTTCGGACGCCCAGAGGTTCACCCGCTGGCGCTTGGCCATGCTTCCTTATGTCGTCTGCACCTTCTTCTTCACCTTCTGCATCCTCGCTGGGGCGCTGATGTGCTACACCATGAAGAGCTCCCTGGAGGAATCTTTCAACCTGGGCCTCAAGCGAGCTATGAGTTTTTACAAGGACACCGACACCCCGGGGTGGTGCTTCATGAAGAAGACAATTGATGAGCTGCAGTTCAAGTTCCACTGCTGTGGGAACAATGGATTCAGAGACTGGTTTGAAGTCCAGTGGATCAGCACACGCTACTTGAACTTGAATTCCAAAGACGTTCAGGAGTAAGTAGAAAGGGATATGGGGAGCAAACACTTGGAAACTCAAGACATGCACTTAAACTCAGACAAATGTGAGGGCCTCATTTCCTACCTTCTTTCATTTTCCTTTTATTATTAAATATTTTTGTATTTTAATCATTCATATTGAGCCTCTCAGTTTCCCTTCCTTCACCGCAACTTTTTAGTCTTTACTCCTTCATGGGAGTCCAAAACTGCTCACAATATTCCGAATGCGAGCTGACCAGAGCCTTATACAGCCTCAGCAGTACATCTCTGCTATTGTATTCCAGCCCTCTCAAAATAAATGCTAATATTGATTTTGCATTCCTGGCTGCAGACTAAACCTGCATATTAATTTTAAGAGATTCCTGAAGTTGGACTTGTAAGTCTCTTTATGTTTCAGATTTATGAAGCCATTCCCCGTTTAGAAAATAAGCTTACCAAAGTGCACAACGTCACACTTTGCCACATTGTATTCTGTCTGCTACTTCTTTGCCCACTCTCCTAGCTCATCCTAAATCCTTCAGCAGCCATCCCTGCTCGTCAACACTACCTGCACCCTCATCTTTGAGACATCTGTAAACTTAGCAACAATGTCCTCAGTTCCTTCATCCATACCATTAATGTATAACGTGAATAATTGTGGTCCCAACACTGACCCCTGCGGAACTCCACTAGTCACTGGCTGCCATCCTGACAAAGAACCATTTATCCCTACTCTCTGCCTTCTACCAGTCAACCAATCCTCTACCCATGCCAGTACCTAACACCATGGGTTCTTATCGTATTTAGCAGCCTTCTCTGTGGCACCTGGTTGAAGGTCTTCTGGAAAATCAAATAGATCATGTCCGCTGGCTCTCCTTTGCCTAACTTGCTCGTTGCCTGTCAGGCAACTAAAAGGCTGATAGCTGTTCAGTCTCAGCATCGCCACCAGGATCAGTGTTCACTGCTGGAACTGCAATCAGGCAAGACCAGCAACGATGGAGGACCCCATCCCACTAAGTGACATCATGCTCACTTGACTAGTCAGCAGGCCTGTGTGGGTGAGTGGGTTGTCGTGAGGGCAGGGGATGCAGAAGGGTGGGGAGGGGCAATTGTTTCCAAGGAAGCAGCCATTGCCACAGCTGCAAGGTGTCTGATTAGGAGGGCCAGACAACTCTGAGCCCACATAGAAGCTGCTAAGGTGCAATTAGTGGTTTCCACATGTGGCTAAGGACCATTTACAATTGCTGGAAAAGGACATGAATTGTCCACTTCAGGAAGGGTTTACCATCTGCCACTCCTGTTAACATGTCAGAAATGGAGGAAGGTTGGCGGGGGTTCCTCCTTCCAACATTTCTTCACCTCTCTCACAAGCACACTCCCTGAGGGTCCGTATCGTCCTAACCAATACCTTAACTCGAATGGAGCTTCCCAAACCCCAGCTGTCAACTTGAAACATGACTAGCTCTATGCGGACTCAAGAGGACCTTTGGTCTGAGATAAATACAGAGTTGCAGATGGATTTGTATTTGAATGAGTGATATGCCTAGGCTTCACTCACTGAATCAGAGGACACTGAGGGAAATCTGACCGAGGTCTTTAACATGTTGAAAAGCTTTGAGTGAGTAACTATTAGATGATTTTCACTTATTTATTTACATGGGATATGGGGGTCACTGGCTGGGTCAGCATTTATTGCCCATCCTAGTTGCCTTTGAGAAATTGGTGGTAAGCTGCCTTCTTGTACTGCTGCCTTCCTTGGGGTGTAGGGACTCTGATAGAACAGTTTACACAGGCTTCCTAGCCTCTAACCTGCTCTTGTAGCCAAGGTAAGGAAGATGTTCACACCAAATTCATATGGCATCACTGCATTGGCATGAAGCTCTCATCAGTAATAACCCCTTGGCAGACACTTATACTCGTACAGCAGCACCCACTAGAGGTGGATTGGTGAAGATGAGGCCAAATGTGTCTTTTCCTCTTCATTGTTCATTGAAATCCCCCACCCAGAGTACATTCTATGCCCTTACCACCTTCAGTGCTTCCTCTAAGTGTTGCTCAATGTGGAGGAGTATTGATTCATCAGCTGAGGAGGATGGAACATGGCAATCAGCAGGAGTTTTCCTTGCCCATCTTTAGCTTGGGTCAGCAGCCAACGGTGAAGACTCCCAGGGCAGCTCTATCCTGACTGTGTACCACTGTACCGCCACCTGTGCTGAGTCTGTCCTGCCGGTGGGACAGAGAAGGTGGTGTTGGTGCCTGGGGACATTGTCTGTAAGGTATGATTGTGGGAGTATGATCATGTCATTCATGTCATGTCTCACTAATCTGTGAGACAGCTCTCCCAGTTTTAGCACTAGCCCCCAGATATTACTGAGGAGGACTTTGCAGTGTTAGCTATTTTTGTCACTGGTGGTTTGTCCAATTTCATTCCTTTTTTCAGACTTTGTAATGGCTTGATACAACTCTCTGCAGTTCCCAGAACTGGTTGCAATACTCCAGTTCAGGCCAACGCATGTAAAGTAAAAACAAAGAACTGTGGATCCTGGAAATCTGAAACAAAAACATAAAGTGCTGGAGAAACTCAGCAAATTTGGCAGCATCTGTGTGGAGAAAGCAGAGTGTACATTTTCAGTCCAGTTACAAAGAAGTTGTTGAAATGTTGACTCTGTTTTCTGTCCACAGATGCTGCTAGACCTGCTGGGTTTCTCCAGCAATTTCTGTTTTTGTTTCAAAGCATATAAAGGTTCAATCATAGCATTTTCTTTGTATTCAATACTTCCCTCTTTCTCAAAGTGCCCTACCATCTTCATCATTTGTGCACATATACTCCCAGGCCTTTCAGCTTCTTGCCTTACTTCCATGCAGACCCATTTCCCCAGCACCCACCCTCAGAATTGTGGCCTATCTTTATATTGTCTCTTGACTTCCTACAAATATGCCTAACTTCACAATTCTCTATAAATTTAATCTGCTATCCTAACCTACCATCCTGTCAATACCCTCTGAAGACTCTCCTCCGCACAGTTCATAAGAATTATTTATCATCAATAAATTTTGTTGTCGTACCCTCTACGCCCAAACCTATTACTAATATACATCAAAAAAAAAGCAGTGGCCCTAAAGCCAACCTCTGAAGAACCTCACTATACAACTTCTTCCAGTCTGAATAATGACTTTTCACTTCTACACTCTGTTTCCCATCACTCAGCCAACTTTGTACCCCTGCTGCCACTTTCCCTTAATTTAGATTTGTTTTCCCTCAGATTGTTTCTTGTCCTTTTCTGCAACTAACTTAAACTTCACAATAATATGATCACTGTTGCCTAAATGTCCTCTACTGACTCCTGATCCACTTGATCCTCCAGAAACAGATCCAGAAATGCTTTTATTTTCATTGTGTCAGAATCATATTGATTTGGAAAATTCTTCTGCACAGTCAGAAATTTTCCCTCCACTCTTCCCTTTGTGTTGTCGCTACCTGTGTCTATGTTAGAACAATAAAATTCTTTCATTATAATTATTCTGTAGCGTATGGTGTTCTCTGTAAATTTCCTGTGAATTTTCTCCTCTACGTTTTTCATTTCTTGGTAGCCGAGAGAATATAGCTAGTTCTGAAATATTACAAATTGTTTACACAAGACTACTACCCGTGTTGACATTATTTTGTTTATTCATGGGCGGAGGGCATTCCTGGCTGGCCAATATTTATTGCCTATCCCTAGCTGCCCCTGAGAAGGTGTTGGTGAGCTGCCTTCTTGAACTGCTGCTGTCCATGTGCTGTAGGTGGACCCTCAATGCCCTGAGGGAGGGCATTCCAGGATTTTGACAGGGAAGGAATAGCTGAACAGCTTGGAGATATGAGTGTTGGGCCAGAAGCCAACAGACCTTTGAAAGGAGAGGAACTGTTTTTACTTTGCAGTAAAAAGCTGCATCTCAAACATGAAGACAGCCAGTTTATATCCCTTCATCAGTTACTGTAAGCTGTGATTTCTTAATTAATAAATCAGAGACTTTTAGAAGTGTGAATCAGTCACCCCGAGTGTTCTGCAAACAAGTGAAAGTACTTTATTTGGAGTAAAATACCACAAGTTGAAATAACTCTCTGGAGTTCGACTCCTGGAGTTGATGTCTTGTACAATATTGCATCCTTCAAGTTTGCGGTGTGACATTATTGATGATTGTTTAGTTTCTTTCATCCACAATATTGACTTCTGCTCTGAAGCCATCAAGTCTGCAGCTTGAGTTCTTCTGTTCCTTGTTACATTTGGCATTGACTGTCAGTTTGAAGACACAGCTTTCTTGCAATTAATTCCTTAAATTCTTCTGCAGGACAGTCAGTTGTCCTTGTGGCATAAGGCAGCCATTTATCAAGCAATTTTTAAAACTGTTTTGTTCATGTAGCTATGACTCCTTCTCCTAGGCATGGCTAATTGCTTTCAATTCCTGTATAATAGTTTGTCCTTGTCCCTTAATAGTTTATTCCAGACAGAGTTATTGCTGCTTCTTTCAATCTATGCACAGTTATTAAAGTTCTGAAGTTTACACTATCCACAACCTGGAGAAGGAAGATTGAGAAGCAGCATTCTGAACAGCAAAAGGATCATCACAGCAAACGCTGTGAACAAGGGCCAGTGAACTGCCTTCCTGATCTTCCCCTCCACCATTACATCCATGTATTTTTGGCCTGTCTGCAGGTGTGTTATAGAGGGAAGAATTTACAAATGGATTAGAGTTTTAACAGGTAGAATTACATGTTAGTGATTCATAATGGTTTATCTGGAGTTAGAATACTAATTCTTGTTTAGTATGAAAACCTGGTACAGGTTTTGTGTCAACCTGGGTCTAGGAATTCTACATACTTTTCAAAATGTTTTGGTGATAACTCAGGAAGAGCGGGGCTTGATTTCCAACACACATGCTCCAGTGAGAGGTGACACTGGACAGTAAATACTCCAGCCAACAACACCCATTTCCCATAAATGAATAGAGGAAAGCTACTTGCTAATCAACATCATCCCGTGTGTGTCAACATCCCCGATTAGTTTTACCTTGCTCCCTCGACAAGTCACTCCTTCTGAGTTCCAGCCCCGAACTCCCTCAGGTGCACAGCTTTTATTTGTGACTCTCTGGCCCAGATTTGCTCTCTCTGTCCTATCTTTAAATTTGAGAGTTTCTGCTGGAGTAGATAGGAAAAACCACTTTCAGTGCAGTTTTCTAGAGGGCTCAGAGTGGAGTTGTTACCGGCTGGAATTCACTACCTGAAAGAGATATTCAGTGGTGGCTTTCAAAAGGGATTTGGAAGAAACTTTGAGGATACTTGAAGGGATATGGTAAGGGAGGAGGGAAAATAGGATGAATTGGATAGCTCTTTCAGAGTCAATGTGAGGTCAAAAGGGGCAAATTACCTCCTTGTATAAATCTTAAGACCATAAGATGTAGGAGCTAAAGTAGGCCCTTTGGCCCATCTCGTCTGCTTTGCCAGTGAGATCATGAATGATCTAATAATCCTCAACTCCACTTTCCTGCCTTTTTTCCAATAACTCTCAATTCTGTTACTGATTAAAAACCAGTTTATTTCATCCCTTGATGACTGAATGACCCACTCTTGGTAGGCCTCTGTGATAAATAATTCCAAGGATTCACTATCCTCAAAGAGAAGACATTTCTTCTCATTTCTGTCTTAAATGTGTGACCCTTTAGTCTGAGATTACTGTAAAATGCAGTGTTTTCTGCTCATTGGCTGAATTGATTGATTTCAGTTGTGTGCAGTGTCTATGAGCTTGGTTTTTAACTTGCAAGTGTCTCCTCATTACAGCCGTTTAAAGAGTAATGTAGATGGGAAGTACTTGCTGGATGCAATTCCCTTCAGTTGCTGCAACTACAACTCTCCTCGGCCTTGTATCCAGCATCAACTCACCAACAACTCGGCTCATTACAACTATGACTACCTGACTGAAGAGCTCAACCACTGGACAACAGGCTGCAGGCAGGCATTGCTTGACCATTACACCCAGATCATGCAGTCTGTAGGACTGTCTGTATTCATCATATGGCTCTTTGAGGTAAACGTCTACAATTAAATATATAACAAGCCCCTTTCCATCTACATTATTTGCTGACTGTGATGCTAGACTAAACTCTCTTGTCTGTAAAAGTTTTAGGTAGCACCTCCAGTTTGGGTGGTGGGAGTCGAGGGGTCTCGTCCCACTCTCATTTCACAGTCTGAAGGTCATGGGTTCAAGCTCTGGTAAAGAGACTGAACACAAAATCCAGCCTGGCACTCCTACACAGCACTGAGGGAGTGATGCACTGTCATAGGTGCTATTTTCCACCTGAGATAGTAACCAAGGCCCTGTTTGAGTCTTTCAGATGAGGATCTCAGTGCCCTGTTCAATTCTCCCCAGTGTCCTGGTCATTCTTTTTGTACCACAAACAAAATGACTGAAATGGATAGTTATCATGTTGGTGTGTGGGGGAGCATCCTCTACATGAAACAGCTACCACATTTCCCTCATTATAACAGCAGCTGAGAACAGACAGCAAGAATGCAGGGAATGAGCTTCAAGCCCCTCAAACATATTCTGTCCTCATTTTTCTTGATAAACTTAATAATTCTTCTCATATCGATTGCCATTTACAAAAGAGTTTCAAATGCCTATAAACCTCTGAATGAACAACAGTCTCCCAATTTCATTTTGGCCCTTAGTTCTAAATATCTCAATCAGTGGAAATTTTTTTGTCCCAATCTACTCTACCAGTTTATTGACATCTCCATGGAATACAATCCAAGTGTAAACTCTGCTTGCAATACAGAAACCAGTCTGGTAAATCCACATGGCACTCCCTCCTAGGCCAGTATCTCCTTCCTAAGGTGTAGTGGCTAGAACTGCTCCCAGTGACTTCAGGAGTGTTCGAGCCAAGGCTTTTTGTAGCACAAGCATGATCTTTTTCCCCCCCATGTATTCTATTCCCCTCTATCTAAAGTCCAATATTCCATTGACCTTTATAGCAACACAGGACTTAACAGCAGGAGTAGGACTTTAGCCCTACAAGCTTGCTCTGTCATTCAACAGATCATGGCTGAGCTGGTCAAGGCCTCAACTCCACTTTCCTGCCCGTCCCTGCCATTATCCCCAATTCCGTTACGAATCAAAACTCTGTCTAACTCAGCCTTAAGTATATTAAATGGCTCAGTCTCTATTGCTGTCTGGGGAAGAGAACTCCAAACACTAATAACCCTTCAAAGGAAAACATTTCTCCCCTTCTTCATAAACAATCTTTTATTAGTTTCAGTCTCCTCCGCAAAAGGAAACATAGTCAGTCCCCACAAGGTTGAATATGTTTCAATAGGATCACTTTATAGTCTTCTAAACTCCAGCTATTTTCTGAACCTGTCATGACTTTTTAATGCTCTATCTACCTGGGATGTTATTTGATGTTTGCACTTACAATAAAAAAAACAAAAGAACTGCGGATGCTGTAAATTAGGAACAAAAACAAAGCTGCTGGAAAGCTGCTCAGGTTCTGATGAAAGGTCACCGGACCCGAAACGTTAACTCTGTTTTTTCCTTCACAGATGCTGCCAGACCTGCTGAGCTTTTCCAGCAATTTTGTTTTTGTTCCTGTGTTTGCATTTACAATGCCTGTCAACAGCAAATTCAGAAACACGGTTTTCCTCTGATCATCTAAGTATCTGAAGTTGTGGGATCTTCCCCTCAGAGGTGCAGAGCTGGAGGTGGAGTGACAGATACTGCAGCACAGCAGGGAGGGGTGAAGTTATCTGGACAATTAATTCCAGGAGGCAGTCACAGCCTTTAAGACAGGGGCTTCTGACACGGCCTAAGCTCATGGGCAGGGCTAAGGGGGTTGTAAGTGAGAGGACAGGAGACTCAGCCATTCAATTATCTGGGATTGAGGCTTTTGTCAGTTTCTGTGGATGATAGTGAGGGCTGCAGAGTGGATGAGCTAATTGACCATGGCACAAGAATTCAGGACAGTGAAGCAAGAAGGAATGTCATGACAATAGGGGGACAATATAGTGCAGGGGATTGACACCATTCTGTGCAGCAAACAGCACAAGTGCAGTTGGCTGTGCTATCTTCCTAGTGTCAGGCTTCAGGATATCTTCTTTATTCATTCATGGGATGAGGGGCGGTGCTGACCAGGCAGCATTTATTGCCCATCTGTAATTGCCAGAGGGCAGTTAAGAGTCAACCACATTGCTGTGGGTCTGGAGTCACATGTAGGCCAGACTAGTTAAGGATGACAATTTCCTTCCCTAACGGACATCAGTGAACCAGATAGGTTTTTCCGACAACCGACAATGGATTCACGGTCATCATTAGATTCTTCATTCCAGATATTTATTGAATTCAAATTCTACCATCTGCCATGGCAGGATTCGAACCTGGTTCCCCAGAACTTTATCTGGGTCTCTGGATTAACAATCTATCGATAATAGCACTAGGCCATCACCTCTGCTCTGGGCTGGAGAGGAACATGCAGAGGGAAGGGGAGAATCTAGTTGTTGTACACCACGTCAGTAGCAGTGACAGAGATAGAATGAAGAAACAGGTTCTACTGAGGGTGTATGAGAAGTTTGAGGCAGAATCTCAAAAGGTAATAATCTCTAAATTACTACTTCATCCTCATGCAAATTGGCATTGGGTGAGATTAGAGAAGTGGATGCCTGGCTCTAAGAATGCTGTGGGAGAAACGATTCCGGTCCATGTGGCACTGGCACTTGTATTGGGGAAAGTAGGATTGTATGGTTGTGACAGTCTACACCTGAACTATGCTGGAACCAGACCACGATGTTGCACAGTTGGGGCTGGGGGGGTTGGGGAGGAGAATTGGGGCAGCAGGAAATCAGACTTGAATAAAGTGTAACAAATCAACATGAGATTGGAGAACAAAATATCAATGAAAACGAAGGTCAGAGAGTAGCCGGAAGGAAAGAGAGAGAGAGAAAAAAAACTAAGAATCTGAAGAGCAATCAAGACCAGATGCTACAACAGACTTCGTATCTTAATGCATTTTGTACTCAAAACAAGGTAAACGAATTGATAGTACACATCGAAGAAGTGAACAAATCTGATAGCCATAATAGAGAAATGGCTGCAGGGTGACAAAGGATTGGGTGGTAAATATGCACCCCTATGTGGCATGTGAGAAGAATACTAGCACCTGGGAAATGTGGTGGAGGCAGGTTCGATTGAGGCATTCATGAATGCACTGGCTGGTTATTTAAATAGAAACAATGTGCAGGTTATGGGGAAAAGGCAGTAGAATAGCACCTAGTTAAAACACTCAGAGTTGGTGCATACACAATGGGCCAAAAGACCTCATACACAGAAGTAACACTTCTTTGAATAGGCATCTACATAAGGGCAGAGGGACGGAACTGTTAATCAAAGATAGTTTTGGTGCAGTATCAAGATGACCTTGATGGAAGAAAGTCACTCATGGGAGTGATCTACAGGCCTCCAGCAGCAATCGTAATGTAGGGCAAAGTAATAATTGGTTCTTGTGATGAAAGGAAGCAGTAAGCATAGGTGATTTTAACCTACGTGCAAATTGGAAAAATCAAATTGGTAATAGTAACATTGATGAGGATCCCTTAGCATACTTTTGAGAGAGTTTCTGAGAGAAACACTTTCTGAAAGCAACCAGAGAGCAGGATACTAGACTTGGTACCATGTAACGTGACAGGATTAATTAATCTCCCCTAAGCAAAGGTGAACAGGGATATTAGACTAGGAGATAGATCAGAATATAGACATTTAAAGGGATATTTCAGAATACTCGGAATAAGTACATTTCTACTATTAAGAAAAATTCCAAGGGGAGGGCTCACTGTTTGTGGTTAACTATTGTCACCATTTAATTGGGATGAAAGCACTGATCATTCCCTACTATTGCATAAAGTGTCACAAAATCTATAAATGTATAAAATCCTAATTAGACCACCAAATCCCAAGTTGACTGACTGCTACCCAGGACAATAGCTAACCCTATCAGGTTTCTTCTGGAGCAGGGGTAAAAAAAAAGTCATTGTGACGCACTACAAAACTTAAACGTGCCCTTTGAAAAGACCCCAAACATACTCAATCACAATTAACAATGATGGTTTAACTCAGATATAAACACAAAGAGTACATGCAGAGATAATAATATAATATAATTAAGTAAATATATTTCCAAAGATCAAAGTACCAAACAACAAGGTGCAAAGGTGCAAACCCAATCCTTTTTCTGCCACTGTTGTTTTCAGTTGTTACAATGATGAGACACTGATGTATAGTGATGGTCACCTTTTGATTCAATGGTTGATCAAGTATTGGTTAGTTTCTTGTATGAATTGTTACTTTTAAGCTTTTGGGGTTTTCTTTCGTTCCATTCATGAACATGGAGAGAGATGGTGGCTTTATATCTGCAGATTCTGGATGTTTTTCACCCACTGCTGATCTTAGCACATGGGTTTTTATTTAAAAATGATCTGCTGTTCATCCAGAGTACTGTTAACAGGCAGAGCCTCCTTAACTGGAAATATTCTGTGTTGTTCACTCTGGAATTCTGTCCCTCTCACTGTTTCAAACAGCAACATTGAGTTGTGTGATACAATGTAAGTACTCAATTTTCAAGTTGGAAAACTCTCCTGGATTCCTAGTTCCATTTCAATTTATAGTCTCACTAACTGAGAAAGAAAAATAAGTAAGTTACGGCAGGCATCAAAACTGACGGAAAAAAATTGTACAAATGTGATTGGTAGGTCAGGTGACTGGTCAGAATACAAAGAATGGCAGAAAATGATTAAAAGTTTAATCTGGATAAATACATTTCAGCTTGCTTCCTCTCAAACAGTAAATGTAAAAACAGATGGCAAATGTTTCCAGAGGGATCTAAATGAAAAAGAGTAGAGTTAGTGTTGGCCCTCTAGAGTGTGAAAATGGGGAGTTAATAGTAGATAATAAAGGATGTAATAAATAAATATTTTGCCTCCGTCTTCACTATAGAAGATACAAAAAAGGATTCCAGGAATACATGTCTATCAGGAAGTGGAAGAGAGAGAAACTGGTGAAATTATAATCACTAGGGAAATGGTACTGAGCAAACTGATGGAACTGAGAGTTAATAATTTTCTAAGTCTTAATGGACTTCATCTTAGGATCTTAGAGTAGGTGGCTAGTAAATGCAAGGTATCAATGTTGCAAAATTTGTGAGATTCTGCAAAGGTTCTATCAGACTGGAATGTAACAACTATAACTGCTCTGTTGAAGAAAGAAGGGAAGAGAACAGAAAACTACAGGCCTGTTTGCTTGATGTCTGTCATGGGGAAGATGTTGATGTAATAATAATAAACACAGTGCTGGGATTTTGAGAAGGCATTTGACAACATTTCACACAAAAGATTGTTATGCCAGTTAGGAGCTCATAGCGTAGGATGCAATGGATTAGCACAGATAGAAGATTGGTCAGCATAAACAGAGAATGTATAAATGGACCTTTTTTCAGATGGGGCAGACTGTGATGAGTAATGTCCTGCAGGGTCCTCTACTGAGCCCTCGACTTTTACTATTTATATCAATGACTTAGATGAGAGGAACAAAGGCATGGCAGCTAAATCTGCAGATAATACAAAGACAGGTAGGAACATATATTGCAGCACTCCATTTCTCATAAAAACCAAAAGAACTGCGGATGCTGTAAATCAGAAACAAAAACAGAAATTGCTGGAAAAGCTCAGCAGGTCTGGCAGCACGTGTGGAGAGAAATCAGAGTTAACATTTCAGGTCCAGGGACCCTTCCTCAGAACCACTCCTCATATCCTGCTATTTCAAGTATTAGCCCATTATCCCTAGTCTCTTGTCACTCAGCCAATTTTTTCAGGTCAGTTATTTCGATTCCATGAATTTCAGCATTAGCAATGGTCTCTTATCATGGATTTGATCAAATGTTTTCCAGACAGGCATTTAAATAAGATTCTGAGACAATCGTGAGTTCAGGATTTCAGCCATCTCCTAAACGTTCAGTCAGATTCACCAGGCATGAGCTATCTGATGAACACTTGGGATTTCCTGCGGTTGTGATAGGTACTCTATAAAGATGGTGTTCTCTCCTGCGATTCTAAAGGAACCACTCTTCTGTTTGTCTACAGATTTCAGTTCTCACTGGTGTCAGATATCTACAGACTGCAATGGAAAACGTCCTGCTGCATGGTGACCCTGAGTGCGAGTCAGAGGGTTGGCTACTGGAGAACAACTTTGTGGAAAAAGCTAAAACAAATCTGAACATCATTAAAACTCTGTGCAAGGTCAACCAGGTATCCACTGTCTCTGGAATGGAAGATCCCAATTTGGATGTTAAAACAGCTGCCTATGGACCTGACAATGTCCCTCACAAAATCCTCCCCACAACTAGGGACTAGCAACCTTCTCCATGCATCTTGTTTTCAGAATGGCCATGAATGTATTTTAGGTCGGTGAAGGGGGTCAACATTCTGGCAAAGTCATGGTCAAATTATGGATTATGTAATAAACATTACCTAAGGACAGTCCCACACCTGGGTGACATACTTCAGTGGATGTTGAATCTATCCCAAATATTTTGGGTGTTTCTGTTACTTTCAACAGACATGCTATGGTATTTGCTGATTGCAAAATAGTCAAACCTGATGTCCATTCTTCTCCAAAATTATGTACATTTAACTCTGGGTCATTAATAGCCCTTCTTGAGAGATGAGTCATTTTCTGTTTCAATCTATTGCTGTTTTTGTCTCTCTTTGCTCCAATAATGACAAGGTAGTCCTCCTATGATGCTGCTTGGCCTGCTGTGTTCATCAAGCTCTACACCTTGTTATCTCAACTTTTAGTAATGTTGGTTGAAGGGAGAACTCTCCTTTGCTTTAAAGTAGTGGGATCCTTTGTGTTCACTTGAATAGATAGAGACAGTCTCAGGCTGATGTCTTGTCACATGGCACCTCTGATAGTACAGCATGTCCGAATCTTGATTGATACCCTCGAGTCAAAGTGAACTTGGAGGTGTTGCTGGAAAGTCTCGCATTTAGACACTGCATCTCTGCGCAAGCTGCTGTTGTCCATAATGTACAACCATAATCCAGCAAATGTTAATTACAACAGTAATAACATCAGCAAGTTTGACAGCAGGATCGAAACTCAAACAGAGCAGAGCTCATAGCTAAATATTATACTAAGACTAATGACTAGTCATTAATCTCCCATTTAAGTAAATAAATAAATAAATAAATATTCTCATTCTTATACTAGTGTAATGATGCACAGTGAACTCTAATCTTAAATGCATTTTGGACAGTTTCTTTTGAAAACAGGAGGAATAAATTTGCTTTATCTTTCTGATTACACTGAAATTTGAATAATCTATAATGATGCACAGATTTAAAACTAAAAATCTGCATTTTGCATAATGTAGTTTATTCACTTTGTGAAGTATCAATTTTCAGTCTTAATACAATAACTTTTAAAAAGGGAAACTTCTGGAAAGGTAGGCTACACTGGCATCAGCCAGTTTTATTTCTTTCTTCAGACTTTCAGGTGACTGATACAACTGAGTTGCTCACTAGGCCATTTCACAGCATGTGGGTATGGAGTCACATGTAGGGTAAGAATGACAGATTTTGTTCTCTAAAGGACCATAGTGAACTAGATGAGATATTATGACAATCACAAGGTATTCATGGTCATCATTAGACTATTAAGTCCAGATTTTGTTTTCTGAGTTGGACAAAACTAAAAGACACAGTTGCCAGATTGGGTCTGCAGCAGGTGGTGAAGAAATCAACAAGAGGGCGAAAACATACTTGACCTCAACCTCACCAATCCACCTGTGTGGGATTTGAACCGAAGGCCTTAGTGTAACATCTGTGTCTCTGGGTTGCCCGTCCAGTGAATGACACTCCACCATGGTCTGCCCTAAATTATATACAGAAAATCAATGTTTGACACATTTACACTAGCTACACTGAAACACTGGCAAAAGTCAAACTTACACTTCACAAGTGATTAAATGTCAGTACCAGGACAGCACTTGTCTTTACTAAGACAGCACATGTAACTGCCCCTTGTATTTTTATTCTACTTAAGTCAAATCTAATCAGATTGGTTTATTGGACTAACAAGTTCTATCCATTAAGCAGATTGCATCTTGAATAGAATCTTGTCTGGCCAACAGTTTGTCCTCCTGACCTGTTCTCACTATCCATTCGCTTCAACTGAATTTCAGTTTGCTTGGAGCTTCAATTTATTATTGTACCAGAAATATGAGGAGTTCAGAAAAAGACTCTCTGTTGTGGAATAACCCAAGTCCCCACGTATCAACTGTCCTTTAATTTCAAGAGAATTTTCATTATTTTCATTTCAGGACAAGCTGTTCTTCGAGCTATCGGCCATGAGAATTTTCTTTGTTACTAAGGGTCTCAGTTTAAAGTCTCACCTGAAAGATAGCACCAGCAGCAGTGCAACACTCATGCATTACACATCAGCTAGGTTTTATTCTCAGTTCTCTGCAATGGGATTATAACTCCATGACCTTCCGATAGGAAGTGAGAAAACTACTCACTGATATGCCCCATGAACCTGGGTGGGAGATACTGAAACCGTCAGAATTTTAGGTTTCCTAAACAAATGAAGTGTTCAAGACTCAAGGCAAATACGTGCATCTGTATATTGATATTCCTAGACATGGTGAGTTTCCCATCCTCTTCCATAAAATATTAAATGTTATGCTAACATTGCCCAACTCCTGATTTTGTTGAATTTTATTATCACATGTACCTAAGTACAGCAAAAAGCATTGTTTACAAGCAGTACAGGTAGATCATAGTAAGCAATGACATTCAGATCATAGAGTGAAAAAAACTCCTGGCATGGTAAGGGGGAAAAGGGAGGAAAGATGGTCCGACATTTGAAGCAAGTGGGTTTAGACTCAACACGAACATGGGGTTTCTTTCTTGGAGGGGATAAATTCATCTTAGGGCAACCACTGTTGAAAATAACAGAAGAGTATTTATTTCATTGTAACAAGTTTCCGAGTTACTACTGGAAAAGGTCCAACAGCAGGGTTGGAAAAACCTTGAGGACATTAATATTGATAAATAACCAATGCAACTAAAAAGATGACCTGGTTGTGGAATCTTGCTCAGTGCAGGTTGACTGCCACAAATCCTATACTAGCACAATGTACGCAATGGATTTCATTGGCTGAACAGCATTCTGGTATTTACACATGAGGAGCTCTGTAAAAGTCCCAGTACTTTCACCAAAACATTATTTTTCATCATGTGGATGTCACATTTGTTGCTTCATCCCTAACTGCCCTTGAACTGAGGGGCTTATAATGACTTTGCAGAGTTAAGTGTCAACCACATTGTTGTGGGGATCTCTGCAGTCACATTTAGATCAGACTGGATGACAGGTTTCTTTCCCTAAAGGACATCAGTGAACCAGATGGGTTTATATTACACAATAGTTCATGGGACCACGAAGGCCAGTTTTCAATTCCAGAGTTATGAACAGAATTTAAATCTGACCATGGACTTTAACTAAGCATCTATAACATTAGCCTGGATCTTTGGATTGCTAGCCCATTGACATTGTCATGATGTCACTGCCTCCCCTCCTGACAAAAGGTTGGAAGCACAGGCACAGGGCAGGAGGGAGGATTTTCACAGCCTCAAAGTTACTTCCTTTCTCCTTTCCCTTGGAGATATGATCAAGAAGACTTTATCCAAAGTAAGGAACTGTGCGACTAAACTATGAAACTAAGATTGAGAAGTAAGTGAAATAAATACTTAGATTTAATCATGTTAGGAGGAAATAAATATTACTCAACAGGAAGTGTGGATTTAGACTTCAATAACTATAGACTATTTCGTCAAACAAATTGCACTATTTTTATCAACAACAACAACAAAAACAAAGTTGCTGGAAAAGCTCAGCAGGTCTGGCAGCATCTGTGAAGGAGAAAACACAGTTAACGTTTCGGGTCCGGTGACCCTTCCTCAGAGCTGATGGTGGCTGAGAAAACGTCAGTTTATATGCAGAAAATAGGGAGGTGGGTGGGGTAGGGAGTAAACGATAGGAATAGAGCCCAAAGAAAGAGAAAGACAGTTGGACAGACAAAGGAGTTGCTAATGATCAGGCTGGGAGGGTGAGTAGTTGTTAATGGGGACTGTTAGTGACTAACAACAGCGGGTGTGTAGTGGCAGGCTATGGGGTAACAAGGCCTGGTGTGTGGGGTGGGGGGCTGGGACACGGGAGAGTTTAGGCCCTAAAACTATTGAACTCAATATTCAGTCCAGAGGGCTGTAGGGTCCCCAAGTGGAAAATGAGGTGTTGTTCCTCCAGCTTGCGTTGGGCTTCACTGGAACACTGTAGCAAGCCAGAGACAGAGATGTTGGCCAGGGAGCAAGGTGGTGCATTGAAGTAGCAGGCAACAGGTAGTTCAGGGTCTTTTCTGTGAGCAGAACGTAGATGTTCTGCGAAGCGGTCGCCAAGTCTATGCTTTGTTTCCTCAATGTAGAGGAGACCACATTGTGAGCAGCGAATGCAGTAGACTAGATTCTTGGAAGTGCAGGTGAAGTGTTGCTTCACCTGAAAGATATGTTGGGCCTTGGATTCTGGGGAGGGAGGAGGTAAATGCATAGGTGTTGCACCTTCGCTGGTTACAGGGGAAGGTGCCGTACGGCTGTGGGGAGGTGTTGGGGGTGATGGAAGTGTGGACCAGGGTGTCGCGGAGGGAACGGTCCCTGTGGAAGGCAGACAAGGGAGGGGAGGGGAATATGTCTCTGGTGGTGGCATCTTGCTGGAGGTGGCAGAAATGGCGTCTGATCATCTTCTGGATGTGGATGCTGGTGGGATGGTAGGTGAGGATAAGGCGAATCCTATCACTGTTGTGGGAGGGAAGAGAAGGGGGGAGGGCGGAAGTGCGGGAGATGGGTCAGACCTGGTGGAGGGCCCTGTCAACAAGACTTCCTGGCCAACATCTGTCTCTGGCTTGCTACAGTGTTCCAGTGAAGCCCAATGCAAGCTGGAGGAACAACACCTCATTTTCCGCTCGGGGACCCTACAGCCCTCCGGATTCAATATTGAGTTCAATAATTTTAGGGCTTAAACTCTCCCGTGTCCCAGCCCCCCACCCCACACACCAGGCCTTGTTACCACATAGCCTGCCACTACACACTCGCTATTGTTAGTCACTAACAGTCCCCATTAACAACTACTCACCCTCCCAGCCTGATCGTTAGCAACTCCTTTGTCTGTCCAACTGTCTTTCTCTCTCTTTGGGCTCTATCCTATCGTTTACTCCCTATCCCACGCATATAAACTGACGTTTTCTCAGCCACCATCAGTTCTGAGGAAGGGTCACCGGACCCGAAACGTTTACTCTGTTTTCTCCTTCACAGATGCTGCCAGACCTGCTGAGCTTTTCCAACAACTTTGTTTATGTTCTTGATTTACAGCATCCGCAGTTCTTTTGATTTTTATGCACTATTTTTATGTTTAACACCTGCCATGTAAGGAGTTGGTAAACCTGATGATATTCTGTCAAGTACTGCTTGATATTATACAATTTAAAATATAATATATTGTTCTCCTGCTGTCAATGTATTTGTGAGATCCTTTAAAATGGATTACTTGCATCCTTGAAATATATGCTTGGGTCAGCCACTGGCTTTGCAATGTCATATTTAATTAAGAAGCTATAAAGAATCTAACTGTACAACTGAGAATGATGCAAAGATTTC